GGGGGGGGGGGGGGGGGGGGGGGGGGATTCATGCCTCTAAAACTAGCACCGCCACCAGCAGCAGGGTATCCGCCCACAGTAGATAAATGTCATGGAAGCGAGCTGCAGCAGTAGCGTACAACACCACCGGGGCGGCGAGCAGCAGACGACGCTGATAGAAACTGAAGCGGGGGCGAATCCGGGGGGCCAAAATACTTCCAAAACCGTCCGTAACCCGGGTGGGTTCTTGGACTCCAAAAACGGAAACCTTCATATAAGCTACCCTGACGCTGCTGCGGCCTGGTTGATTTGTCTTCGTGGCTAGAGGGGTCCCTCGCATGAGCGGCACTTGCTCATGTCCGCGTATGCCCCGCCACGCCTCCCCCGTGAAGAAATCAGGACGGCAAGGACAGTTCGTAGGAGGGAATATGGCACGCATCCAAAGCGTGTTGTTGATGCAGTGCAGGCCGGGTCGACTCACCGCGAAGTCAAGACCTTGTATCGCTCTCGCAGAGCCGACACAACGAGCGCTGCGTCGTCACCAGCGCCACCGCCGCTGGTCGTTACGCTCCAACCCATCGGAACCTTGCAGGGTGGGTGGGGGGGGAGGGCACAACGACGGCACACGCACGAATCCCCTCATTGAAAACAATTGGATGAAAACCGTCTCAGTTGAATACTCGACACAAGGGAAGGGAACCCCCGGGAAGGGAAAACGTGCAGCAACCGCAGCCTAGCGCTCACCCCATCATGGCCACCTGTGCCAGGCATAGAATAAACATTACTTGACATATATATACCCATATGAATAAGACACGCCGCGACAACGACGTCGTGCCCGACCCACTTCGACTTGAAGCTCGTAACCTCTGCTGCCCAACCCGGCCGCTTCCACCGTATCGGCGATCGTCCGGAGCTCGCCGTCGTCCCCGGCGCCTCCGCTCCACCTTCGCTTCCTGTTCCTCACTGCTTCCTCGTCCCCCTCTTCGTCCTCCCCCCCCTCTTCCTCCTCTGCCTTCGAGCGGTTGTCACCACCGATGTCGTTGTCACCGCCCCCGTCCACCCACTCCATTCCCTCGTCGTCGTCACTGTCAGCTGTGGTAGCAGCAGCAGAATCTCTCGCCTGTGTGTTTGCCCTTGCCTCCCCCCCACGCTCGTTCTCCCCTCGTTCCAGCTGGACACTGGGGTCCTCCCGTCCGCTTTCCCCGGAAGCCGTTCGGTCGTGTTGCTTGGTCTTCCCTTCACCCTCCTCGCTACTTTCTTGTTTCTTTCTCTCCTCCTCCTCCGTTCCCTCGCACTTGCTGGCAGTAGTTGGCCGTCCGTCGCTATTTCGTGGGCCAACGCCACCTGCACCGCCGTCGCTACGCCCACCCTCGTCTCCGCTACCGCCACCGCCGTCGCTCCCACGACCACCGCCTTCCGGAAGCAAACGGTGACCCCGGGGCTTGTCACCGTTGCCCTGGTCTGTGGAAACGGCGTCGGTTCCCGGAACGGCTGGAACGAGGATGGCGATACACTCTTCCATCTCTCGCACTATCGTCTGTATCTCGGATGCCTAATGGCGTTGATGCGGCACGAAAAACAAAATGCAGCCGAGGCTTACATAATTCTCGTGAGTGAAGGATAAGGATTGGAATAAAACGAGGTCTTGCTTTAGCCATCTGCTATGCGAACTACGGTGTGTTTTGTTGCAGGACCGAGCGACGCTACGACCACTCATCACGAACGAAATGGGCGAGGCGGGTGCGTCGCGTCGTAGGGGCAGCATATCCTTTAACGTCACAAGAATCGATACAACACGCACGCATCGCGCGGAGAACATGCCAAGAAAACACACGCGGCCTAGCACACCACTTGCAACACAAAGGTCAACAGAGTGGCAGAGACCGCGGCAAGCTTCCCCTTCCGTCCCGTGCAAACACACTTAAACTCGGCTCAACAACAATTACAAGGACGACTGCGACACAGCCAACACATACCTGCTCCGTGATCTCGGCCTTCGCCTGCAAATACTTGGCCTGCAGCAGACGCCGCGCGTGTTTATCCCGTCGGGCGGCGGCTTCTCGCGCCCTCGCCGCCCGCGCCTTTTGTTCGGTTCGAGGCCGCCAAAAGGGCAATGGGGTCAGCTGGTGTAGGGGGGAGGTGTTGCGTCATCAAACAGAGGGTCTATCGTGTGGCTGGTGGCAGGATACATGTACGCCCTGAACACGCACGCACAGGAAAGCGCGCAAGCTACGCGGCTCCCGATTGGAGCAAGCGGCGCCTGCAGGGCGTCGAGTGTGGCAAGGCCTCCATACAAACGCCGTCGAGCTTAGACACCGTCACATCCGCCTGGGTGCTTCTTTCAGCCCCCCCCCCCCCCCCCCCCCCCTCCCCGACACTCTTGCCTGCCTGTCTCACTTAATTTTCTTTCCATCTGTCTGTCTCTATTCCTCTTACTGTCTGTCTGACTGACCTGCAGCTCCGGGAACTTCATCCGCTTGCCCTCCCTCAGAAACCGGTAGGCCGCGCGAAGGCCCTTGTACAGGTCGCCGTGGGACTCGTTCCACTCCTCCATGAGCGCCAGAGCCTTCTCGCGCAGGGCCACCGCGGCGGCGGGCGGGCCGGGGAGCGGGTGCCGCGCGTCGTGGCCAACCGCTAGGTTCATGAAGTTCTGCCTCGTGTAGATGTTAGGTCAAACGTGATAGGGGCAAGCATGGGGAGACAAATGGAGCGGCGGCGGGAGGGCGGGAGGGGGTCGCGTTGGCGGGTTCATCGATACCGGATTGGACATCGCTTGCCTCTGCCTGCTGTTTCACGTTCAAACACCACCGTGGTGGTAATAGAATCTGTCGCCGTCTCGCCATCCGCAAGAGAAGAGGGTCGCATACCTACGCACTAACCTTGAGATCGGCGACTATGACTTTACGGACCACCGTCGAACGCTGAAACAGCAGCCCCACGATGGACAGGGCCATGAACCGCGCCTAGACAAACCCGTGTCAGCCAGCAGAACAAAGACAAGAAACAGAATGAATGAAAATAACTGAATTGAGCGGGTGCACACCGGCGGCCTCAACGCACTGCGAAGTTTGGCACACAAACCCCACCTCCTACGAGGCCGACCTCCGTCACTACTGTAGATCGCGGTGTAGCGATCAAATCGCATGCATACATATCCGTATCATTTCGGCCTTTTTTTTCGACAGTGCACCGTCGCCAAAATCGGGATATGGCGCGATTGATTCGTACCACGGAGTAGATGACACTGCCCCGTAAAAAATGTTGTGACATGCACGCTCTGGTAAAGCTGCAAAACACAAGCCACAACTGACAAAAAGTAGCAGTAGCTCCATCCTGCCACCAGCTTCGTTTTTCTGTCAATGTCTACTTATCATTCTCTGCACCACCGCGGTATGCAGTTCAACGCACTCTTTGCATTGTACTTCGCCATGCGTCATACTCCGAGGTGCACCCCGTCGCTTGGCACACCTTCAGTTCCACAGGAACTAACGCCGTGTGACCATACAGGGTGTACTGTAGCACCGAACGACCAAAGATCGATTCATTTTTTCCAACCGTCATCCTGATGCCAGCGGCATACCAGGACGTACCTCGGCAGACTTGGCCGCCATCCTCTGCATGAGGTAGCGGATCGCGCCGGTAGCGCAGTCTTCATCCTTCCTAGCGATGCCCTTAATGCGCCGCACCGTGTCCTGGAGGTAAATTAGAAGTATGAGAATCACCACCGCGACGACCATAGCAACGGAGATGTCGGCGCGGCACGTGGAACCGCAGAGGAAACCCGTTTTTCTGCCTCGAAAGTAAAGCGCATGTGTGTGTTGGCGTTGATACATACGCGATCCAGCAGCACTCCACGCCTTTTTTCGTTTTCGGACCAAGCTCGTACACACTGGCTTCGCGTACACTATCCTTACTCGTCTCCAACGCGCATTCCTTTCTGCTATAATCGCGGCATCACCTCGTCGAGGCGCTTATACCCCGTCTCGCGAGTTGGCTTGGTCGCTTTCGACACCAGCTTGCCGAGCGTGTCGTACGAGTCGCCGGCGCCGGCGCCGCCGCCTGCTCCACCACCTCCTACTCCTCCATCGCCGCTGCCGCCGCTCGCTGACGGAAAGGATGACGATACCTGCCCCGACGGTGACCAAGCCGGCCGTTTTCCTTTCCCACTTCTATCCCCTCTTTCCCCCCGCGTCCCTCCCCCTCTCCCTCGTGCCCCTGCTCTCGCGCCTCTGCTTGTTGCTCTCGTCGCGGCGCCCCTGCTATTGCCGCGCCCCCTGCCTTCCATGTGGGCGATGAACCCAACAGCCCCCCCTCGGCGTCCCGCCGTGGCGGAGGCAGGCAAAACAGCGAGCAGGTTACGCTTCGCCTGGTGCCCGATGACGAATTGACGGTGTGGGCTGGGCGGCGACTCCAACCTAGCCTCTCCTGAGTTAGCTCTCTTTCATTTGCTGGTACGCGACACGGAAGTGCAAAAATATAATTAAAAATAATTCAGCGCGCGACGCATGAGCGGACGGGGGCGAGGGACGTCGTGAGCATCGACGTTACCTCGATTTTGCCAAAATTTGCCGCCTTTTCGTCCCACTTGTCTCGTGTGTCGGCGGATGTTTTTGCGCGAGGATGCCTACGGGGTGGTCCTGTTCGTCATTCGGTTGCTTCGTTTGTCGACAGAGGCGGCACAAACACACCTGATGGTGTAGCTGCTTTGTTTAGTGAAGCCCAGCAGAACTATCCCCTGTGCGACACCGGAAAACCAGGGAGAGACAGGGAAAGTCAGCGAGAAGAAGGAGAGAGAGAGGAAGGCTTTACGGGGGAAGGATGCAGCGGCTCTCCTTGCTGTCTCTTATAAGGGTCCCGTCGGGATGTGGGGTGCTGCACTGCGCGCTGGTGCTGGTGCTGGGCAGGGTGCTGGACGTTTGGACGCTGGACGCTGGACTGGACTGTGGGTTTGGTTCCATTTTGGAACCTCTTTTCGGATGTGGCATCTGGCGGAGAGGACAGAGCGACGCCGACACCTTATCCCTGCTGTTTCTCTCTTTCTACGAGCACGCACACACGGCCGTGTGGGCATACAGCCGATGCAATACCACGACGGAAGGAAGCTCCCGCCCGGGTGGGTGAGGTGCGTCTCTTCCAAGTTCGGGAGGGACTACTTCTTCGACACGCAGACCGGCGAGTCGACCTGGTTCGCTCCTGCCACTTCGACACCGCCGCCTCCCTCTCGCCAAGGGGGCGAGGAGGAGGACCTAGAATCTTTCTCGCCTCCTCCAGCAAAACGATCACGGCAAGAAGGGCCGTCGTCGCTTCCGCCTCAAGATGGAGACAAGACGAAAGTTGCCGTGGTAGTCCCATACAGGGACTTGGATCCCGCGCAACGGCGCTCGGCTCACCTGGAGCAGTTCGTGCCCTACATGGAGGACTTCCTGGAGAGGGCGGTGGGAGGGGCGGGGGGGGAGTTTCGTGTGTATGTGGTGGAGCAGTCGGCCGACGACGGCCTCAAGTTCAACCGCGGCAAGCTTCTCAACATCGGATTCGACCTGGCCCGAATGGAAGGGGCACAAGTATTCCTGTTCCACGACGTTGACCTCCTGCCCTCGAACGAGCTCGCGCGGTAAGCAACGAGGGAGACCCGTCACGATGCGCTTCGCGGCAGGGCCTTCTTGGTCCGTTAGATGGTGTAACGACGTGTGTGTATGCACGTCCCAACAACATTGGCTGCAACCGGCAGATAGACAAACATGCTCACAAAGGGGCTGACGCTAATTGTTGCGAGCTCGCCTGCGCTGGGAGAGCGCTCCTCACGAGACCTCGCGTTTGAACAGAAACCAGGTACGCTCATGGGTCGTACACAGGTTTTGAGGGAGGGGAGGGGTTGGGGAGCAAAACGGAACGAATGGACTACAAACCTTCTTTGAAGAAAAGCGTTTGGTGAGACACCCGGACGGATAAGGTTCGCATGTTGGTTCGTCTACAGTAGCGCTTCAGTATTCTTATTGTTCGACCACTGAAGACCGGCCAGCAACTACAGCCGGTGTGTCCTTCGATTTTGAGCTGCTCTCGTTGCGAACGTGTCAGAAGAGAACACCCAGTGTGCAACCGTCTCCTGATCTTGCCCGGTTGTCGACGCCCCACGAGCCCCGACCAAACTTAACTGAGGGATGCAGGCTTCATGGGGGCACAAGAGGGTGATGGATGTGTGTGGAAATGGCTACCCCCCGTCACAGTAACGATATCTGTGCTTCTCGCACGTACAGCACCTTGTTTCCCTCATGCCCGCCCTGGACTAAGGGTGTCATGCCGTTTGTGGCGGTTGCGCGGTTGCTGCCGTCCTTCTTGCCGCTGCCCGTTGCGCCTCGGAGAGAGCAGGTGGTACGCTACGGTACCGGAGAGACCGGTCCACGTGGCGAGGGTCTGGAAGCAGTACAGCAACAACCCGAAGTGAGCTGCATGTTGTTTATATGGAGCAAGAGCTGATTTAGCTCGTACATGTACTTGGTTCACATCGACAACTAGGCCTCGAATTGGGAGAAAGTGAGGGGGTGTTTTTATGCCCCACATGGGGGCAAAGCGCGGCGTCTTCGCCGTGTCAGTTTGACTGTAGAAGCGCAAATGAAACTGGGCTGTGAACTCGGGACAACCGTGCTTCCCAACGCTACCATTTTTCTTGAGGTTTTACCTGACCAAAGCTTCGCAATGAACACCACTACCCGCCGCCGTGAACATGTAACGAAAATGTGCGCAGGTATTTCGGGGGGGTAGTGGCCTTCAATCGGAAGGATTTCGAAGCGATCAATGGCTTTCCCAACACCTTCTGGGGTTGGGGGGGCGAAGACGATGAGATGTACAGTCGCATCCTAGAGGTATGTTGCGCCCAGTCTAGACCTCTAGACATTGCCCAAGAGGTCAGCATGCCTCGGCCGTAGCACTCTCTGATCTTCTTGTATGAATATCTTGCGTAAAGCCTAGCCCCAAGTAATTGTATTGATAATAAAGCGAGTCACCGAGGTAAGGTAGGCACAGGCGTGGCAGTGTGTGTTTCTCTATGCTGCCACAGCTGCTGCTGCTGCTACTGTGTTTTAGACAGAACTACCAGCTATAGAGTTGCCACAGGATGCAACCGTACCATCCCACCCTCGTTAGCTGCCAGATTCAATAAAAGTCGCCGGGTGTTTCCCAGTGGTTCACGTCTGCTTTTGTGTGTTGGGAATCGCGAGCCGTCGTGACTGCCTTGCATGTTCAAAAGGCAACTTCCCTATTCCACCCGGAAAACGTAGAGGAAGGGGGGCTCGCCGTATCAACACGCACTTGCCATGATAAGCCTATCCAACCCGGTGTCAGCGCGAATCACATCGTGTCGCATCTTGTTGCATGATCTTGCGTCGTTCGTGTCCACGAAAAGGCGAGGCTAGAGCCGCAAAAGGTGGAGGTTGGGGAATTCAAAGACTTGGAAGGCTTAGATCTGCCTACCAAGCTAAACCTGCTGCGTCAGAACGAGCAGTGGAAGTGCCAGGTCAAGAAGGAAGCGCTGGAGGTGACCTTGATTTGCTGTACAGGACAAAGCTGAACAGTATTGAGGCTGAAGAGAGCCATACTCATGGTGAAAAGACGGAGGTGCACATAGCGAAAGCGCACGATGCTGAGGAAATTGACATACGAGAGACAAAGAGAGAGAGAGAGAGAGAGAGAGAGAGAGAGGCGAGGCCCCAACGTGCAACTCCTTTGATTTGGTGTGTAAACAACCCTACCTTGTTGCACGACACTCCTTTGCCGCCCTTGGCAACCCCCCCCCCTCGGTGTTTGCCATCGGGATTGGGCTTTCTTCGCTTGGCACCGACGTTGTAGAACAAGCCAATTCACTTCGTGAACTCGGCAACCAGGTTACCGTTTGTTTTTTTTTACCTCTTTTTTTTTTGGCGGTGACCACAATGGTGGTCGAGTAGATCATGTTGTGCGGGGTGGAGAACTCTCACTCCGCGCAAGGGGGATGATCGAAATGGTCAAGCACCCTCGAGGCAGTTACACAGTGCTTACAACTGTCTCTGGAAGTAAAAGCACCAGAAAATAAATTAAGTCATACGCAGCTGTCATCCGTACGCAAGGAAGCAAGCACAAGGTGCCGAACACCCTTATAGCAGGACGCAGCGCACCCTTCATGCGACTCGCCGAATTTCTCACGGCGCTTCGCGCTTGGTAATGTGAGAGCCTGGTCCGGTGAGAACCCGGCGTGCTCCGTCCCGGCTTTGTAGGGNCCCCCCCCCCCCCCCCTCGTCATACGCGGTATGAACTCTGGTTGGACACGGCCGTTCACGTACTTGTGTTTTTTTACAAATAGGAGCATTCGAAGACTTGGAGACAGAACGGGCTCGCCGACCTCAAGTACAAGGTGCTGGGGAGAACCAGCTTGGGGAAAGGGACTGAAAAGGTTCGTGAAACGAACAGTTGCAACCTCGGGGGTGTTTGCGGTCGCAACACGATGACGTCATGCCTGAAACGCCGCCCGTAAACGCTTTTGTGAAGGACTTCGACTTCGTATGCGGCTTGTGCTGTTTCTAGTCTAGTCTGAAGCCATCCCGCCTCAACGCCTCTACCGGTACTCTCAGAAGCACACGCCGGTTTCTCGTTCGTCTTCCACGAGTACCGGCACAACTGTGCTGGGCTTGTTCGTGTCGTGTTGATCTGCCATTGTTTCAGCTATTGCCGCATGCAGGATTTCTACTATACGAACGTGTGTGTGTTGACATCGTTGTACTTCCTTACACAACGCGGCAGATTACGGTGGAGGTCGGGCTGAACGGGCATTGGACTGACACCATCACCCGATGGCAAGACCTGCCCAAAGGGGACTTAGTATCGGCATGAGGAGACCAGATACCCCACCTAAAGGCCTTCGGGAAGTGGGTGGAGAGGGGGGGGGATAGATGGAGAGAACCAGAGACAGACAGAGACACAGAAACAGGGAGAGAAGAGAAAGAACATCGTGAGGGAGGCTAATAGATACGGAAGGAGAACTTGGTGTGTGAAGTATGGTGGAATAGTACTAGTATCACAGAGTAGCGTCATGGGAGAGAGAGTGAGTGAAAGAGAGACAGACAGAGAAGCAATGTTGCACAGTTTTGGTGAACGAGTCGAGGGGAAAACATCGTCCGGGAAGGAGGCTGTGGTTGAACGAGAGAAGGCCCCTTGCAAAGCAGAAGTGCGTGAGCATGAAACCGGGGTCGGGTTCGTTGAGTCGACATTTCGGCAACTTACTTCGACACGTGTGCTGTAGGCATGGACCACCTGCTGTGGAACCGTTCCCCCTCGTCATTCGGTTGACAGCCATGCAACTTCCTGACGTTGGCATGTGCGTTCGAAATTTCGGCGCAGTCGGGAAGCGGAAAGACTTCTCCCACTATGCCCAAAGAAAGGGTACTGATCAATTCCTGGGAACGACCACGTTTCGATTTCACTGCTGTCGACGAGAGGGAACGGGGCAACTGAATCGTTCGGTCATTCTCGCGATCAAAAAACACGCCAGCGGCGCTGAACGAGGGCGGGGAGAGAAAAAAGTCCTCGGGGTGGTTTTCCTCCCGGGTTACCCAGGCTGGTGCGAAACCCCACCGAAACTCGTACAACTGACGTGCAGACTAACACTCAAGTCCACATCGTCGGGCCTGCGAGCATCAGACACTTACACTACCACCGGCGCGAAAACACAACGCGTATGTAGAACGCCCCAAAGTGGGGCCAAAAGTAGCGTGACATCTCATCATGCCCTGAACGCTCAACGCGTGAAATTAAAAACCCTTCACGGTCGACTTGATTGCCGGGGGGGTGTTAGCCACGCGCAAGCATGAAACGCGACACTCTGATGTCGTCAAGCGGAAAACGGTATCCGAACGGATAGCGTCACTACAGCGGTAGCAGTACATGCCCTGCCTAGACTCGCGTAGGCTGCCATCGAGTAACTGACGCTGAGAGACAGACACAACGAGAACGAACACCAACCACAAGCGGGAGCAGCTACTATTCCACGAGGAAACAGGGGGCAAAGGATCGACCCATCTCCTCCGCCACATCGTCCAATGAAATTACAGAGTCTCCCACATGAAGGAAGAGCTCCCCTTGGGAGACCTCGATTCATTAGGATGACGAAAGAGCTGCTTGTTTTCTCTTGTCGCAACATAAAAGACGTCTCCCGAACTTTTTGGTGGATGCGTTGTCGCGAAGCATGACCTCTTTCCCTCTCTCTGACTCTCTCTCTCTCTCCCTCCCTCCCTCCCTTTCTTGGCCTCACTCCCTCTGCTCCCCCGCCTGCTGCGCGCTCCCATCTCACGAATGACCCTACGGCACAAAATTAAATAATTTCACAAAAAAACGTTCCCCGTTATCTCCTGAAGCAGTCAGTCTCCCCCTCTCGGCACCTATAATCCTGCCGTGCACCTCTTGCCCACGCGTTTAGGTTGTACATAGTAAATACCTAATAATACTTCATTTCTTCGCCTTCTACACCGTCGTCCTCTGCCGCGCGGGTGGCGTTCGCCGACTAGATTCTCCTTATCTCCACGCACGTGCGCTTAGCCACGTCGTGCTCGATCGTAGCGTCGGGCTTGTCCGCCAGCTCTGCACATAGTCACGTGAGCGGCATCATTCGCGTGTCAGGTGTGTGTGTCTTGTTTATTATTAGCGTCTGCCCCGCTAACCCGCTGGCCAATGAAACGACGTCATTTCCAGCGCGGTTGAAAACAGAAAACGCTCTCTTCTAAGGGCCGTGGTCTGGGACCCCGTGAGTCAGGTGTGCGTGACGCGCGGGGTGGTTGCAGCGCGACGGAGGGAGGCGTCGGAGGGGAGAGCAAACGTTTCTCGCAAAACGACACAATAGGGCTACGACCGTGGGTGCCGAAACAGCACAAGGTTAACTGCAACTAGGTTCTCTGCTGCTGCCGGGGGCGTGTGATTCGTACAAGATGCACAAAGACGTCGGACCGATCGCGGAATACGACAGAGTGTGGCGTGGCGAGGGCGAGGGCAAAGGACAATTATTGCACCAAAATCGTGGAAAAGCAAAAGCGAGGCCACCAGGTGAACGGCCTTCGATTGTGAGGGACAGAAGGACCAACGGACTGCAAAGTGCATCATACACACACACCAGGCGGGTTCCTACACTACCGGTAGAGAGGGCAACAAAGGTGAGAAAAAACATGATGGCGGGGGGTGCTGAACTTTTTCTGCATTCGCATACATCGACACGCAGGACGATCGCAAAAAAAAAACGAGGCGAAACCAACCGCCCGCCGCTTGGGTCTTCCCGTCTAAAAAACAGAAAGCATCGCACAAGCGAGGCACGTGCACGCGCTACTACACAACCACGCCCACTGTCCGAGTGTGAGATTCTACAGAATTGGCAGCGCGCTTTCTCACCCTTCTGCTTCTTTGCTAACGTTTCCTGCGGTATGGGGTGCACGGCTAACTCGGCGTACGTCCCTCCACCCATACCCTTGGACAGCTGACCCGGATTCACGCACAGGCATCCCTGACGAGATAACAGAGAACAGCGGAGGAGAGAGACAGAGAGAGCAGCGGAGGAGAGGGGGGGGGGGGGTCAGAACAAAGGGGGGCAGCGCAAACGAAGGCGAAAGAGAAGAACTGTCAGGCAACGAGGCGGAGAACAAAACAAAACAGATCGAGGAGAGGGTTAGAGGGTGTACGTGGGTGGAGGCACAAAGCACCTGTGGGACAAACACGGAAGAGTGGAGGTGGAGTCGGATGTTGGAACTGACAACCAGGTGCATAAAATGCCCCTGTTTCGCGTTACACCAAGTTCAAAATCACTCACAAAAATTATTTTGCCACAAAAACACCAAATCTCACACGTGTGGCTGCGACTATCGGGTCGCCCCCAGTGGTCAAAAGGTGCTCTACCAACTTTGGCGTGTCCTGGAAACCAACCTACTGGATGGCCGAGGTCGTGGGTTTCAATCCGGGCGCGACACTACTACTGTTGAGAAAGCGCTTGATCGTGAGAGGTATCATACGTACATAAATATCTTGGCATTGCTCGTTCAATTACCACGAGGGTAAAAGCGCTCTGCTGGGCCCTTCTCGCGACGAAGATACCGTAGTACGGAGACACACGCGCGCGGAAAGGAGCCATTTCACCACATTCCCCCCGTCAAGAGGCGACATCTCAACGTGTAGCAGCAGGGGCAGGGATACGCTGCCAAAGGAGGAAAAAGAGACGGCACAATGAACCACCAGACCCCACCCGTCCCACCACCACTCCCACGAATCAACCGGTCCCGAGAGGCCCAAACAGCAGCCACGACAGCAAAACAAAAACAGCAAAAAATAGTGGTACCATATCCCTGCCCCCGTGAGGCGCTGTATACACACATACCTGCACTTGTCGCGCGAACTGCGCCAGCCTGGACGGCACGAGCAGCACGTCGGGTGTGGCCGGCATGCCCCAGCGGTGCGCGTGGCGCATGTCGAGTTGCGCCGCCGAGCCCGCGGGCGGCGGGAAGAGCGGGTAGAACGACTGCTGCTGCAGTAGGTGGCCCGCGAGCCTCGCCAGCCTGTTGGTGCCCTTGCCTCCGGCGCTCACCTCTTCCCCCGACAGGTCGAACAGGGCGTCCGTCGAGGACACCCCGATCATAACCTCGTTCACGCGCAGCCACGCAGGGTTCGGCGCGAGGTGAACTCGCTTGTGCCGCGCGGCGGCTCCTCCGCCTCCACTTGTTGTTCTTGCTCCCGTCTTCGGCACGTCGAGCACGAACATGCGTTCTTCCGGGTACGCCCCGACACCGAGCTCGACGCCTCCTTCCACGCGGTCGTGGAAAGGGGGCTATTTGCGGGCATGCAGCGAGTTGGAAGGTAGTAGGGGGGGGGGGGGGGGGGGG